TTCTTAAGTGCACTATCTGAGCAGCTTTCTGACAGCCTGCAATCTTCTTGCTGGCGTTACACCTGAGGCTCAACTGCTTGGCTGACAGCTCTACGAGCGGCTGAGATGCTTAAACCGGGTCACTGATAATACCAAAGAGTAAGATTTTTAGAGAAGAGCTGTTGCAGGGGTTCATTGCAACGACCCTTAGTCCAGTTAGATGCCATAGTCGATGTATTAATTTAGTAGAATGTTTAGGGAAGAAAGTGAAGTTCTAGTGTAATGTTTCTCAACCACATTCCTGGAGGACTACTAGCTTTGCACATTTCCAAACACAGGTAATTCAGATCACCAGTTTATTAGCAGAGACAAAACCTGTAATGGTTGTGATCAACAGGAGACATCCAAAACATGTAGTGTTGATGGTCTTTCAGGAATGTGGTTGAGAAAACTGTTCTGGTTCTGTTCTAGTGTTCTATTTGGAAGATGTGACCTGTTGTTATGTTGTCACCACCAATATTTGGAAATTTGAGCAAGAAAGGCTGTAAAAAAATGCCTTTATTGTTTATAGTCCACATGAAATCAAAATGTATAATGTTTAATTTGTTAGCGCACATTGTTATTCCTTTGGTGAACAATTCATCCATGCAAGTTAATCCACTGATTTAATTAAAACATTTTTTTAGTAAACTTCAATCCATATCTGAACATTTGCTTCTACGTTTGGAGAAGCAGTCCTTCTCTGTTGAAGTCAGTTTGACAGCTTCAGCCACAATAATCTTAAAGGTCCAGTGAAATTAAAACAATACAATTTTAGATGTTAGTTTCAGTCTGTCAGTGACAAAATTCGTACGCCCATCTCTTACAGTTAGTTTGCTACAAGGGAATGATGACCTAAACATAGCCCCACCCCCTACTCAATATTCTGTTTCAGTTGGAAGTTCATCAACATACTGAAATAAAACTCTCAGCAACTTCCAGTGGACTTTGATATTTTTGAAACCTTTTCACACTATTTGTGATGATATAGATGACATCATATTCAGGGCTGGATTAGGAACACATTGGGCCCTGGGGATTTAGCAAATTCAAGGGCTCTCCTTTTAATATATATATATATATATATATATATATATATATATATATATATATATATATATATATAGTTGTTGTTATCTTGTTATTATTATTAAATTTACTATTATCTAATTTTCCACCATTTGAATTATATTTGATTATTATTATTTTTTTCTATTTTAATAAAATAGTCCTGCAAGTATACAAAATTAAGTTAAAGTTCAAACAGGCTGCAATATTCAGCAAAACAAAAAAACATTTGCAATACTTCCTAAATTAGTGCTTAATAATAAATACTTTAAATAAAGGTTTACCTTTAAAAAGGTTATTTAGTTGGCCATAAATGACTAATGACAGAATATCTTTAAAATCCATGCATCTAATATTCAAAATAGCTTATTGTGGTCTTTTGAGTTACAGAAGGCTAGCCTCCTTATTTATTTATTTATTGTTTGTATGTTTGCTTGTTTGCTTGTATCAGATATACTGTTTAATGAAAGCTAGCCCTAAAATTTTATTGCTCCATATTATTACTGTCGTTTTCATAAAAGGGGCAAAGTTAACATTCATTAAAAAAAGTTTGCTTTCTAATTGGTTCTGTTAGACTCACTGTACGGCATAACCGAGTTTACTTGAGATAGATACTCAGCAACAATAGATATTTTGAAAACTGCTTGTGTAGGCTATTTGATTTGTTCACACTGTCTCGGTCATACCTGCCAACACTCCTGTTTTTTCCGGCAGTTCCCCCCATATTTCAGACCCATCTCCCGTATTGTTTTGCCTCCCGGAAAACTCCCGGAATAAGGGACAGTCCTGGGAAAATTGGGACATCTGATCACCCTTATAGGTGACTAAAACAGGGCTATTCAATATTCTGATTAAGCTACAGCCATTCTGAGCCCCAAACCTCACCTCTAAACCCAACCATCATTAAGGAATGAGCAAATCGTGGGGATGTGACAAGATCTTGTATGACGGGATCTTGCTAAATCAAACCGCAACGAGATTTCTCTTTGAGGGAAAAAGTTGTCTTGTGAGTTGTGATGTTACGATGGAGTGGCAAATTTAGCATTGAAGATTGGAGGCAGGATTGGATTTGAACTGCACACCATGGGCTTTGCACATACCGGGCAACCTGGACTGCCTCTTGTGTTGCACGTCACTCGTTTCCTTTGGCGGGTGTGACCACCAATTACCATTTTCTTTTTACTAAAGTTAAAAAACAGAGGCTACAACAGAGGCTACAACTGCAGCCGCACACATTAACCATGCTTCATAACCCTGCGATGGAATATAGCACTTTAGATATGCTGAAAGTCATAATCGCCATAAATATGGAATTAAGGCATGTGGAGTATTCCTATTTCGGTTGCATTACTGCTTTGCAATATAGACATGCAAAGACCGTAATCAAAGTGAAGGACTTTTATTCGCATTTTGCGACAGGATAAGACGTACACACTTAGCTGTTTGACACTATTCTCTTCACCTACAGAGTCAGTACAGTACCACAGACATACACAACTCTAAGCGTGCGCGCACACATACACATACACACACACACACACCATTAACTCCTCGGGACTCATCACATCATCATCACAGAACACTTTTGCTGTTTAGGAAAAACATAAGTTCTCTTTTAATTCAGTGAACAGTATAAAATTACATTAAAACAGCTCTATCCTATCAGTCCTTACTTCATTCTCACACTCAGTACCTCAGAGTGTGTCACAGGGCATGAATGAAATGTTGCTGAATGAAAAAGAAACTGCTGAAAATTCTTAAACGAAATATCAAAACATTTTATTTTATTTTTTTTTAATTCACATAATAAATCGAACTCCTTTCCACAAATTGAAGTCTGTCAGTGGAGTTTATAGCTAAGTATTTTTGCAGTGTTTGCATGTCTTTATTGCATATAATTCATTAAAATAGAAATAAAATACCATTCATTACAATAATAATGATAAAAAACACCTAAATTGGTTTTTTTTTCAGTTGAATAAAAATCTATTTTCCATTCATATATTAGCAAATATTTTGCTAATATTTAAAATTATATATAAAATACTATTTCCCATTTACATATTAGCAAAATATTTTGCAGTGTTTGCATGTCCCTAATTGCACAGAATTTATTAAAATAGAAGTAAAATAACTTTCATTCAGTTGATTTTTAAAAAAGCACCTAAATAGTTTTGCAATTTGTGATTTATCAACACAATCTCACGGCAATTCGTAACTTTTTTTAATTTGTAAGAATTCGTATGATCTTATTCGTACAATTAAGTATGATTTGCTCATCACCCAATGACGGTTAAGGGCGGGGTTGGGTGCCACGCCTTCTTTTAAAAATCGTACATTTTTGTACGACTGAAAACTTGCGTTTCCTCGTGAGATCAGGCTGGATTTATTCATGTATTTTTTTTTTTTAGTTGAATAAAAGAATTCTTTAAAAATAGGTAAAAAAAAATTTACCATATTTACCAAGCATGCCAATATTAGTGGAGAGAACTGTAGAAACAAAATAACCACATATTAGTTTGGAATGGCAGTAAAGAGTAAACTATGACAAAAATAAGTTTCATTTTTGTGAACATTTTCACTAGCGCAGTAACAGTACCCCCACCCCTGGGCCCTTTCAATCGCTTTCAGTGGTAAGAATCAAAATCCCAAAGTACTAGTGTTCGCTGACAACAAGAACCATATGTGAGCGTGGCCTACCGAATTTCATCTCGCTCTTTTAAGTGGCTTGCTCCGGGGCGACCAAGTAGGTCAAGAGAATTGACATGAGGTGAAGAGGTTCACAAAAGCGTGAGGAGAAGGTCAACCGTAAAAAATCCCCCCCACTTTGGTGTGGAAAAGGGTGGGACTGGGAAGACAGGAGACATGGAGGCTGAGTTGGAGCGAAACACTCTTGTCAATGTTCTCTGTCGACCCCCAGTCAAAACTGCTCACCCCTGTCGCACCCCTGGCATCTTCTCGCACTTTCTTTGTGTCTTACAGTATGAGGAACCGTCAGAGCCAACAACAGGAAACATGTCCTGACCCACGCTAAACCCCACATGTCAACTGTTGCTTATTGTTCTTAAAGGGATAGTTCACCCAAAACTGAACATCATTTATTTTTCCTCATGTGATTTCTTTCTTTTGTGGAACACAAAAAAAGATATTTTGAAGAATGCTGGTTGCTGGATTTAATTACTAGAATGTTCAGGGGGAAAACTGTTTTGTTTTGTTTTGTTTTGTTTTGTTTTGTTTTGTTTTGTTTTGTTTTGTTTTGTTTTGTTTTGTTTTGTTTTGTTTTGTTTTGTTTTGTTTTGCTTTGTTTTGTTTTGTTTTGTTTTGTTTTGTTTTGTGTGAATGAACATGGATTGAACTAATAGAATGTTCACGGGAAAACTGTTTTTTTGTGTGAATGTACATGGATTCAGTTATTAGAATGTTCAGTGGAATATGTTTGATGTATTTTGTTTAGTTTTTGTTTTTTTATTTGTTTTGTTTTAATGTGTTTTGTTTTGTTTTAGTTTTTTATTTGTTTTGTTTCAATGTTTTTTTGTTTTAATGTGTTTTGTTTTGTCTTCATTTTTGTTTTGTTTTAATTTGTTTTGCTTTAATTAGTTTTGTTTTAATGTGTTGTGTTTTAATTTGTTTTATTTTCATTTGTTTTGTTTTAATGTGTTTTGTTTTGTTTGAATTTGTTTTGTTTTAATTAGTTTAGTTTTGTTTTGATTTGTTTTGTTTTAATGTGTTTTGTTTCGTTTTAATGTTTTGTTTTGTTTTAATTAGTTTTGTTTTGTTTTAATTTGTTTTTTAATTTGTTTTATTTTGTTTTGTTTTAATGTGTTTTGTTTTAATGTATTTTGTTTTGTTTTAATTTGTTTTGTTTTAATTTGTTTTGTGTTTTGTTTTATTTTGTGTTGTTTGTTTTCAAACAGGTTTTCCAGACACTCCATATTGGTCGGATACACAGATAGCCCCGCCTACAAACTCACACGATTGGTTAAGGTATGTTGCTGTTTCTATAATCCCAATCAAACAGTGTTTTTGTTTTGTTTTGTTTTGTTTTGTTTTGTTTTGTTTTGTTTTGTTTTGTTTTGTTTTGTTTTGTTTTGTTTTGTTTTGTTTTGTTTTGTTTTGTTTTGTTTTGTTTTGTTTTGTTTTGTTTTGTTTTGATGAACATGGTTTGTTGGTTTTGTGTGTTTTTTTTTTTTTTTTTGTGTATGAACATGGATTCAATAATAGACTGTTCAGGAGGGAAATTTGTTTTGTTTTATTTTGTTCCAGTGAATGTTAGTATAAAGTGTGTACTTCATGCACAAAACAATGTCTTCAAACAGAATTCCCAGACACTCCCTATTGGTCGGACACACAGATAGCCCTGCCTACAAACTCACATGTTTTGTTTTGTTTTGTTTTGTTTTGTTTTGTTTTGTTTTGTTTTGTTTTGTTTTGTTTTGTTTTGTTTTGTTTTGTTTTGTTTTGTTTTGTTTCGTTTCGTTTCGTTTTGTTTTGTTTCGTTTCGTTTCGTTCCGTTTCCTTTCCTTTCGTGTGTTTTTTTCCAGATAACTCATTAACGCATACTGACCTGGAATTAAAAAAATAATAATAATTTTTATTATAATAAATTTACATTGTATTTACTTGTATATACATTTTAACTCATTAAATATAGCCTAAAACTGTCACCCGACACTTGACAGTGTCATTTACTGTAAAGAGCTGTCACATCAGACCGTAAAGTGAGAGCCAGTGCTTTTTGGGAGGTGTGGAAAGGGGAGGAGATGTGAAAGGAGGTAAAAGAGAAAGGTGGTGGGTTTTGCTCCTGCTCCTCCTTTTCGTCAGGGGAAAGAGGATGAAACCTGTCATTAGGAAGGTTAAATGAAGAAAGCCCTCAATGGGGAGGCCATTGTGTCGGAGCAGTGAGGAGGGTTAACTCTTTAGTGCCTCAAATAACATGGCTTGCTGCTTTGTGGAGGACTCAAAGAGACAGAGGGGGGCCAAATGGAGGCCCCGGCGCTAGAGAAAGGCCCTGTAGGCTGGGCCACAGTGGGGGTTGATGGGGAGGACAGGGACCTTTGGAGATTTTTTCATCTCTTGTTTTTCTTTCTTTCTTAGCAGCTCATCCAGAACCTGCCGTTTCAGAAACTCCCCGAGATGGTTCATTCTCGGGAGATTCCACTCCCTTGTGTTGAGGGGGAAAAAAAATGCTCGGTGAATGAATGCATAGTTCGCATTTAAGCCCTCCTTCAATGCACGGCTTAGAGATTTACTCATCCCGGTGTTAAATGCTGTTAGGGGTCAAAAATCTGGTGGATTGCAGAGCAGCGTCATAATGACATCTCTTACAAACCGCTGAAAATCAGATCGTGCTAATGAACATAAATAAATATGCACTTAAACTATTCAATGGGGTTTTGGGAGCCACGGGTCCCTTGTTGACAATGTAGGTGTTCTGGAGGGTTTGTGTAATTATGCTATTAAATATAGCTGCAGGTTTGAATGGAGCTTAGAGAAGCATGTTGTACATTTTAGCTGGAATAGTTGTAGTTTTGGAAGATACAATCATACAAAGATTATCTATGGCTTAAGAATAGGAAAATATCTAATAATGAATATGTTCATTATTGCTGCACTGTAAAAAAAAAAGGTTCAACGGTAAAAAAACTGTAAAAATGCTACAGTAAAAATCTGTAACATGGTTAACAGTATGTTTCCTTAATATACAGAGAATAGCCTTAAATTGACTATGCCAGAATTCCCTGCATGCAAAGAAAAAAATTATTCAGAGATGACTCCTTGGATTTACTCAATTTTTTTACGTAAGGGGGTAGTAAACAATTTATCTGTGTTGAATTTAAACAAACAAATTAAGTTGAACATTAATAAACTTAATTTGTTTGTTTAAATTCAACACAAATAAATTGTTTGCAACAGTTCTGCATGCAACACTTTTTTCAGTGTGGCACATCACTACTTATGCTTTTTGTTGACACTACTATGGATCTTTTTAGTTGTTTCTCCATCAGTTATGTACATTAGAGATTTGTGTTACATCTAATGTTGATAAACAATGTTTATTGACTTTAATTTTATGCTTGTTACCATACTTGTGTTTAGTAGCTGTGTGAATGACACTGAGCTCCTTACACTGACACACTTTTCTGCTTGTGAGAAAAGTTGTTTGTGATGAGCACTGGTTTATTAACTTTCTCATCACCACATGCATATAGCTGTGTTAACGTGTATATCTGTGTAGCAAAAGATGTGTAGATATTAGTTATTCAAAATACAGACATATTACCTCTATAAGTTAATGAAATACAGTAGTTTACTGTAAAAATTAGAAATTGCTTTTACAGTTTGTACTGTATTTTTAACGGTGAAATACTGGCAACCACAGCTGCCGTTTTTTCCCGTGAATTTTACAGATTTAATTTTTACAGTGTGTAGTATGTATTAGTATTACATGTTATGTTGTAGTATTACATTGTAGATGTAATGTAGGTATGTAAATGTAGTATTTTTTTAATTACTACACTGTAAAAAAGCAGGGTTTCACACAATTCCTTCATGTTGTCCCAACACAAACTGATTAAGTTAACATAATCATTTTTACAAATTTAAGTGGATTCAGCATAAAACAATAAACTTGTGTTGTTTTATTTTAAGTACATAGTTTGAACAGGCAGCAAAATGTTTTTTGAGTGCTAGTGCACACACATTTAGCCAAGATATTCTGCCAGATATTATGTTTAGGTTGTGGAGGAAAATATGACTTTTTATTATTATTATTTAATTAGGACATTTAAAATTGCTTATTATTTCACTGCGTATTTATGCATTGCAGTCTTTAAGATTTACTTTCAGAGCCTTGTGATTTTTCTGGGGCAGAAAATGCAGACCGAATTTTAGAAAATACACTTTAAACAAATGCTGCATGGTTTCTAATCTTTGGTTCATTTGTTTTATTATTATTTTTTTAAGGGGAGTTTATTTTTTTTAAGTTTAAATGACACTTTTTAACCCAACAGTTATTTATATTAAGAATTATATTAACAATTGTAATAACAATTATATATGTATATATATATATATATATATATATATATATATATATATATATATATATATTTTTTTTTTTTTTTTTTTTTTTTTTTTTTTTGACCCAACACTGAGTGAAAACAACTCAGCATTTTCCTAAAAACAAACCTTATGACAGAATTAGGCAAATTTTGCAATGAAATAAAAAAGTAGCGCAGTACATCTAATAAAATCATAATGTGAAAAAAAAAACAACAACCACGCTTTATTTTAATGGCCCGTTTGTTGAATTTATGCTACATTGCTACATTGATAATAAGTAGACTGCTAGGTTAGGGTTAGGGTTCGTGTAAGTTGACGTACTTGCAACGTTTCTTATAGTCAGTTAAATGTCTGTTTAGCAGCAGTATCAACAGATAAGCAGACAGGTAAGGTAATGAAGGTAATGAGTTCATTAAATAGCTCATTACTTCAACTTAAATGGATTAAGTTTACAGTACTCTTATAAATTAGTTTTTGAAGTTAAATAGTTTGTTGCAATTGGGTTCCTCAAATGGTTTTGAGTTACCTTAACTTACTGGGTTTTACAGTGTAGTTTAAAGTGATACATTGTCTGGGTTGGTGTTGTATATTATAGTTTAAATTCTTTTAATAAGCTGCCAGTACATTTTCTGTTATTTTAAAGACTTATTTCTCTATCTAATATTTTTTAAACGTTATATTATTTCAGATCACTCAAATGTCAATAAAAGTCACTTTGTTAAACTGTAGAGTTGAATTTTCAACATCTAAAGTCAACAGACGGCCAAGATCAGCATCCCATAATGCAATTCACAACTGTAAATAAACAAAAAACACTTGTGAACCACAAAATACACAACTATAAATAAACAGATAGTTTTTAACAGTGTAGTATAATTAAAGCTACATTTCTTTTGGCGTAGCTTTACCAGTCTCTATGTACAGTCAGAATTTTCTGCCAAAACTCCTTATAATGACCACCATGTTATAGGAAATTTGTTCAGCACAAGAATCCCATCCAAATCGTTCTCTAAAGATTAAACAGCCTTTTGGTTTTACTTCAAGATGCAAATTTAAGTTGCGTTGACAGGCATGAAAGACAAATTAAGACTGGACAGAACTATTCATCTAATCCTGCCAAATGATGTGTGACACTAACAATCCATTATCCTTTACAGCTCCTCGTTAGATTCGGAGGGAAAAGGCCTCCATTGTGCCAGATGTGTTTACCCTTATCACTCTTATAGATTATAAGAACTTGTGAAACACTTTTTTGCACAAAGGGGGTCAAGTTAAAGCGGATGTGCCAGAATATCATGGCTTTCAAGAGGGGTTATGAATCAAAGCTTTGTGGAGCTGAGAGATATTCTGGTGGAAACCAAAAAAAAAAAAGGAAAGAAAGAAAAAAAAGGCTTAGCTTAACATCACTCACTTAGTGAAAAGAAAAAAGTCCCCCCCCCCAAAAAAAAAATCTATTTTATAATGTCTACAGTTATGTTTTTATTACAACTATTTTCTTTTTTTTTAACAAAAAACATGCCCAGTTAATTGAAACTTTTAACATACTGTGTTATTGAAACCAGTGTAATTAGTTACTGATAAAGTAAAGGATTACTGTTAATTTTTGGGTAAATTAATGAGTTACATGGACTTGCTTTAAATACTGTATTAACGAGTGCTGTACAAATGAATTCAGAGTGACAGAGTAATTTTATTGTTACTTTGTTATACAAATGTTTTGCAAAAAGTTCTATTTATCATCTAAAGACGGTCACATTTAAGGTTCGAAATTAGTTCATTGTAATATATGGCATAATTTCAGAAGAGTAACTGTATATATATATTTTCATTCTTTATTTTTTGATGACAATATGCTTATGAAACTATGATATGACTTGGAAATAAATGTCAGTATGTGGTATGTATGAAATATGATGTCATTA